GATCTACCCAGACAGGTCTGACCCTGGGATGGAGCAGAGCAGAGTGGAAGGGAGTGGTGCCCTAAGTCCATGATCCACTAATTCCATGAGCTTGGTAGGTTCTCCTTAAACTTCACTCCTCCAACCACGTCACGGGGTATCTGCAGGGACTGAGAAAACCTAGGAACAAGCACCAGGCGCAGCTCTTGACCCCAAAAACATACTCCATGAATGTGAATCCTTTGATGTCCAGGTTCACTTGGTAAAAAACCAGCAAGGGGCTGGCACTGTGGCATAGCAGGTAAAGCTACCCATATGGATGCCAGTTCGAGTCTTAACTGCTCCACTTCTAATCCAGCTCTCTGCTATGGCCTGGGAAAGTAATGGAAGATGCCCCAAGTCCTTGGGCCCCTGCACCCACGTGGGAGACCTGGAAGAAGCTCCTGGTTCTTGGATTCGGATCAACGCAGCTCTAGCTGGCCACTGTGGACGTCTGGGGAGTGAACTAGCAGATGGAAGACCTCTCTCTTTCTCTGCCTATCTAACTCTGCGAAGGGGGGAGAGGGGGGAGGGAGTGAGGGAGGGAGGGAGAGAGGGAAGGAGGAAAGCAGCAGAAGAGGCAGCCAGGCCCCATAGAGCTGCAGGAACTCAGCCTGCCTGGAAGGCTGCACAGGAACACGGGGCACAGGCCCTCATGTGCAGGAGCCAAGGCCCACTGGCCCTGAAGGCAGGCAACAGTGCTCTGAGACTGACTCCGTCCAGATGTAGTAGTGAAAGAAGACAGGGTCACAGCACATCAGGGAGAGCATGCGGCAGGGGGCTTGGACTGCAAACATCATTCTCTCCAGGGGATAACACCATCCACCAAAACACCCTCGTGAGCACCTAAAGGGTACTAAGCCTCTGCTTGCAGAGGGGCACTGGCTCATGTCCCAGCTGCTCCACTTCCAATCCAGCTGTCTGGTTTATGGCCTGGGAAAGCAGTAGAAGATGGCCCAAGATGGCCAACCCTATACCCACATGCAAGACCAGCAAGAAGCTCTTGGCTTCAGATTGGTCCACCTCTGGCCACTGCAGTCATTTGGGGAGTGAACCAGAGGATGGAAGACACCTCTCCCTCTCCCTCTCCCTCTCCCTCTCTCTCTCTCTCTCTCTCTCTCTGCAATTCTGCCTCTCAAATAAAAATAAATGAATCTTTTTTGAAAAATGCATGCACAAACATCCACCTACATCCACACACATCTATAATCATTCCAAGAGAAAAACAACACATTTATCCATGCCACACCCGATGGAGGTAAACAAAATTCTTGCTGCAGGCACCGATACTCAGCCTAGTGTGAACAGTATGTCCTGGGATTTGAAATTTCACCCTCAACTGTAGGGGTTTATTCTGCAGGAGGAGGAGAAATCCTCTTATCATCGAACAGAGCGCCTGATATGTGATAAGTGTCCCCAAAAGAAGTACGAGTGAATCACCAGCGACGAACCTGGCGCACGTCCAAACCTTCCCAGCCAGACCCAGTCTCCCTGGGCCCTGCCCACGTCCCTGTGCTCCAGGACCCCAGACCCACAGGGCTGTGATGGGCACCCCCCACCCTGGCTCCTGGGTGCATCCAGTTGCCCTCCCCGCAGCTTTCCACCTGCGTGCCACTTCTTTGGCTTCCTCTGTGCCAACACAGAGATGCTTCTTTTGGCTTCTAATCATGTCTTCCTGTGTGGTTTATGCCTGTCTTGCCCACCAGCCCACCCTGAAGTCAAGTGTGGCCTATCTGCCGCTGCCTCCCCACCCCCTGGCACACTACTCAACTGCAGCAGGTGCTGAGTAAACCCCAGCGAGGGCCGGTGCAGGACTAACAGTCTCTGAGCTGCTGACTTACACAACCGCTCCTAGAAAGGACACCTCTGAATTCAGCCACTGTGTCCCATCGCCAGGCCAGGTGCACAACCGGAGCACCACATACATTGTGCTTCCACTAAGCACAAAGCAAACAGGCGGCCGAGGATGGGTCAGAAAGGGGCCTGGCCCAGCCGAGGAGAGGACTCAGAACTGCTAGGACAGGGATTTGTCCAGATAAATGCCATCATCCCCCATGCTGGCCACATGCTCAGGGCCAGCGGGCGCAGGGCAAAAGGTTGTGTAAGTGGGACCTCCCCTGTGGTCCATTACACCCATGCACAATGGATGGAAGGGAGATGGTCTGGCAAAACCAAGATGCAGTCTGTGGGCTGGAGGAGCTCCTACCGGCGAAGAAGCTGGGATAACACCAGAAGGTGCAAGAGGAGGATACCGGGCAGCCGGCACCGGGACAGAAACCTGCGTGGGGCAGCTGCAGTGAGGCAGCATTGCTCGGTGGAGAAGGCATCAGGACAGTTGGCAGCCCCGACGGGGCTGAACGTACACAGCCGAAGTGGGCACCAGGCAGGTTCCTTCCCAAGCAGACTCCGCACTCCCAGTCCACATTTGCATGACAAACAAATCCAGGGCTCTGTGGTGGCAGCACCAGGACCATGAGGGACCTGCCCCAGCTAAGCTCTGTTCCAATAAAGAGCGATAACCTCAGAATGACAACGCTGAGCAGGCTATTGTATCTAAAGCAGTGGGGGAAGTCTATGAGGAGTTCGTCGAGACAAAGGCATGTTGACAATCTGCATAGAAAACTGCACCTGTTCTCACAGCAAAGCTGCAAACGCTCACTACAACACTTACACAGACCTCACCATCACTCTACCAACCTTTGGGACACAAATGCTAGAGACAGTAACAGGCTCAGAGGAACATCCTTCCAAATAAGCATCTTTCATTCCACCCTCAATTCTGAAAGAATAAACAAAAGGGAAACTGGCTGAGGGCTGGGACCTCCAGAAGAGCTGAGTGACAAGCTCAGGGCAACCTGAGCACAACACACGAAGACGGAACAGGGCGAAACCCTCAGGATGCCCATCCGAAGGCTCCTCGGACTAACCAAAGGCACACAACAAGCACCTGTCTGTGGAAATTCACTTGCTCCTGGTAAGAACAGGGGAGACCAGGGGCTATTCCCACCCTAAGTCCTTGAGCACAAGTTCTAGCTGGCAGGCGAGGCAGGTGTGGAGTTGGCAGCTCACCACCTGTGGGGAGGCTGTCTCTATCTGGAGCCCCACTGGGGCTCCAGGAGCAAAGCACCAGGAAAAGCCGATGCTGCTGCAGCTGGCTGAAGCCACGGAACGAGCTGGGGCACACAAGATCTGGCAGGGAAAGCCAGCGCATCACAGGGCAGGGGAGGCCCGGCGGCTTACAAGGTTCCACACACACTCGGGAGAAATCAGGGAAGTCCTCAGGGAGCCACTAGTCCCTGGCTCACGTTGAGGCCTTGTGAACTCAGAGAGGAAAACCCGAGGTAGACCCATCAACTCCCTGAACTCGGCAAACCGTCCACAAGGCACATGTGGCTCCTCTGGTGAAGGGTGGACTCAGCGGCACGACCTCCAGCCAGACTCTCCCGGCCACAGCTGAGCCTGGGGCAAGCCCTGGAGCACGGGCAGTGAGAATCAACAGACAGCAACAACCAAGCAGGGGCTTCCAATGCCACAGGGAAACAGACACCACAGAAGGAAGCAAGGGACCAGACAGGCCCCAGACCCAGGGAGCAGTCAGAACCCAGTGTCACACCACGTCATCCCAGACACGCAAGGGAAGGGAGACGTGGTCCACCCCGGGGAAGAATGAGGACAAGCCCCTGACTGGCATCCAGCAGAGGCCTCAACACCAAACCAGTTCCTGGTCACTGTTCCCTTGTCCCCAAACCAATCAGGAGCGTGTGGCAAGCAGCAGACAGGCCCCATGAGATAAATCATCCCCTGCCAAAGCTGCCTGCACCAACAGCACTGCTGATGGCTCCAGGAGGACAACGTGTCACCATGCAGGGGAGAGAAGGGACAGAGAGCAGAGGCACAGTCAGCAGGCCTGATACCAAGGGGCTGAACACAGGGACAGAGAAGAGAATTCTCTCGTGATGTCAGGTGCTGCTCCTCCTCTTCATGGAGGAACGACAATAAACCTGCCTAGGCTTCATATCCGAGTCACAGCACCATTTGCTGCTCCTCCGCACGCGGAGGAGCCGCACCGGACCGGACGCTTGTTGTTCCCTTTTTTTTTACAAGTCCTTTCTATAGTAAAGTAAGAATAAGTAAACAGCAAACTCCCAAAGCAAGAATGAGTAGAGAGAAATGAGAAAGAACGAAGTAACGAACTTCCCCGCGAACTCTCCAACGCACTCTCCAACCAACCCACACCACCATGCCGTCTCTCTCCTCCTATATAGTCCTCTCCACCAATCCGTGCTCTGCTACCCACACGCCGAGCGCGCCGCTCTCCTCCAATCAGGAGCGGCTCTTGCAGCTTGTCAAGTTGGTGAGAGGCAGCTGGGTAGAAGCTGTACGCTCCTCTCCCAGCACCACATTGTGGGAGAGCAGATGCATAGAATAAGTCTTAATTCCAGTAACAGTATAGTCCGAGTTGCTCCCCACAGTCAGGTCAGGGGTGCAGGAAGTTGGAGGGGACGCCAAGCGGCAAGGCTCCCAGGAGCCACCTCCCGGCCCCCTCCACCCCTCCCCACCACAAAGCCAGCCCTATGGCCACCCAGGCTGGACTGCAGCGCCCAGCGCCCAGAGCATGGGCTGCCACTTCCTGTCCTGCACCTCTGCTCTATCTGGGCATCTCCTCACCACACACCAGGCCACCCAAGAGTGCTAGGGACAGGAACAGGAGCTCTCCAGGGAGGGACAGCTTCCGGCTCATGGCCACCTGCCTCTGCAAGCCCTCGGTGGGCAGACTCTGGCTCCTCCAGGCCGCCGCCCACTGATAAGACCACCAGTGAGCACAGTTGCCCTCTTTCCCTCCAGCCAGGGCCTCATGTAAGATGGCGTCCCGCCTCCCATCACCCTGCATCCTGGCTCAATCACAGCAGCCCCAGGGCCTCCACACCGGTGGTGCCACTGAAACGGAGCAGCCTGGCCTAGCTCACGGGCAGGCCCGCCACTGCATGCCCTTCTTGGTCCTTGCCATGCAGTGTTCCAAAGGCTCCTCCGGAGCACTGCTCCCTGCAACACAGCCCAGTCACAGCTCCCAAGCCATCGGCCCTCCACACAGGAGCCCTGGGCAGGTGCACAGCGCCGCAGCTCTGCTGTGCAGTGATGGCTATGACGCTCAGGGCCGTCACACAGACCCCTCCTTAAAGCCATTGGCCCCCCACACAGGAGCCCTGGGCAGGTGCACAGAGCCGCAGCTCTGCTGTGCAGTGATGGCTATTGTCGCTCCCCCTCTTCGTGGAGGAGCAACACTGAACCCTGCGCTGTTCTTTTTGTCTGCTCGGCCCTCCCCGGGTTTGCTGCTGGTTCTTCCCGGGTTGGCTACTATCCCTTCCACCTCCGTGGAAGGGCAGTTCCCCCTGGCCGCATTCCCCACTTCCGCAGGGGAGCGGCACACCGCCGGCCGGCTTTCTCGGGGGCTGCACAGGTGTTCCTTCAGCTAGATGTTCCCCATAGATGTTCCTGGTGCATGCCGTCTCTCTCCTCCTTTATAGTCCTCCTCCGCCAATCCCAACTCGGCTGCCCACACGCCAAGTACGCTGCTCTCCTCCAATCAGGAGCAAGTCCTACAGTTAATTGGTTGAACTGGAGGCAGCTGTGCGGAAGCTGTTTACTTCTCTCCCAGCGCCATATTGTGGGAGAGCAGATGCATAGAATAAGTCTTAATTCCAGTAACTTAGTCCAGTCCGGATTGCTCCCCACAGCTATGACGCTCAGGGCCGTCACACAGACCCCTCCTTAAAGCCATCTGCCCCCCACACAGGAGCCCTGGGCAGGTGCACAGTGCCGCAGCTCTGCTGTGCAGTGATGGCTATGACCCTCAGGGCCGTCACACAGACCCCTCCTTAAAGCCATCTGCCCCCCACACAAGAGCCCTGGGCAGGTACACAGTGCCGCAGCTCTGCTGTGTGGTGATGGCTATGACCCTCAGGGCTGTCACACAGACCCCTCCTTAAAGCCATCGGCCCCCCACACAGGAGCCCTGGGCAGGTGCACAGCGCCGCAGCTCTGCTGTGCAGTGATGGCTATGATGCTCAGGGCCGTCACACAGACCCCTCCTTAAAGCCATCGGCCCCCCACACAGGAGCCCTGGGCAGGTGCACAGCGCCGCAGCTCTGCTGTGCAGTGATGGCTATGACGCTCAGGGCCGTCACATAGACCCCTCCTTAAAGCCATCTGCCCTCCACACAAGAGCCCTGGGCAGGTGCACAGCGCCACAGCTCTGCTGTGCGGTGATGGCTATGACGCTCAGGGCCGTCACACAGACCCCTCCTTAAAGCCATCGGCCCCCCACACAGGAGCCCTGGGCAGGTGCACAGTGCCACAGCTCTGCTGTACGGTGATGGCTATGACGCTCAGGGCTGTCACACAGACCCCTCCTTGTAGCCGCCAATCTCTACCGGGCTGGCCCCCAAGGCTCAGGCTTCCCACCCTTGAGTGGGTGCTCGCCTAGGATCCAGCCGCCCACTATGGCTTCCATAGCACCCACAAACCAACAACGGGAAGGAGCTGCCACAGGATTAAGTAAAACCTGAGGGATAAACACCCAAACCGAGAACAGCGAAACAGAGCAGCTTTCCGAGTGGACGGGAAACAGGCAGGGCACACTCCACTCCAACGTCCTCTCTGATTTTGCCCCAAATCCCCGAGTTCCAAGGACACGAGAGCTCCCGACACCAAAACCCCACGCCCCTGGGGTTCAGTGGGGGCTGCCTTCTGAAGGCTCCCACGCACAAAGAAGAGGCCAGCCACCCATGCTCAGAGAGGGCGCTGTGGGGACTCACCTTCCCGTGGCCATGGCCCGGGTCCCCCGCTCTGCCGCCTTCAGTGGGGTTCGCAGGCTTGCCCTCCGCTCGTGGCCTCACGACCTGTCGGAAGGGGCTGGACAGGGGGAAGCCGCTCACGCTGATCCCATCTGAAAGGTAAGAAGAGAGGGGTGAGCAAGCCATGCCCAGCTGGGGTTTGTTTGTAGGCGGAAGGGGATCAAACACAGGGACCAGAAGGAACACTTCCCACACTCACCATCACTTCACGCAGGGATCATCCTGGAGCAACATTCACACCTGCTCTGCCCCCATGTGGGGAACATGGCCCTCCCTACGAGAGGACAGTCACTGCTACCCGGATGGGACGGCCCACCCAGGCCAAGCCCACCTCTCGCTGGGGCTAGAGGTTTCTCCTTTCCCCTTCCCCCAACTTTGTGTGGCCAGCTCCTCTGACAAATGTCTAAATGCCACTTCCTCACCCAATGTTAAGTGACTACTCCCCCAGCCACAGAGCCCTATTTATTTTTAAAAAGACTTATTTATTAATTTGTTTGAAAGGCAGAGAGAGATCTTCCACCTGCTGTTTCACTCCCCAGATAGCTGTAATAGCTGGGGCTGACCCAGGCAGAAGCCAGGAGCCAGGAGCTTCACTTGGGTCTCCCAGGTGGGTGCAGGAGCCCAAAGGACTTGGACTACCTTCTGCTGCTTTCCCAGGCCATTTGTAGGGAGATGGATCAGAAGTGGAGCAGCCGGGACATGAACGGTTGCCCATATGGGATGCTGGATTGTGGGTGGTGAATTTTTACCCACTGTGCCACAACACCGGCCCCATGGAATGTTCAAACCACTCACGAGCACTTGCTGCAATGGGCTCCCTGTCTTACTGCTAACATTACAACTGATCTACCTAACCCAAGCCTAATCCTTGGGTGCCCGCTGTATCTCACAACCCACATCCAATCCAAGCTCACGGGAGACACTTAGCACCTGCCTTCATGGCAGCCTCCTAGCCTGTGTCCCTAAGGCAATGGCCTCCTGGCTGCTCTCCCAGGTCACCTCATTCTTCCACCCCCTCCACCCTGCACCCTGCACAAGGGGCCGAGGACGCTCCTGGAATGTGAGTCACGTGCTGGCTCTCTCGCAACGCCCGTTTCCCTCAAGGGGAAACACCGAAGTCTGCACAGGTCTCCAAGGGCACTGCGTGACCTCACCTGGACACCCTCCCATTCCCAGCTCAAGCAGTGAGCTTCCTGACTATAATCTTATTACTTTCATAAAGAGACAGTCTTCTAGGAAATTTTTTCATGTATTTGGAGTTCCCTGACAGAAGCCAGCTGGCACGTAGAGGCATACCTGTGAGTGTGTCAAGTACAACAGACTCGAAGAACAAACCCCATCACAAGAACCAACCGCCACCAGCAGTCCTTGCAAGAACAAAGTTAACACTAATTTTGGCGTAAGATGCATGGAACAGCAGAGATGGTACATGTCGGAAAGTCACACCTTTCACCCTCGTCTTAAAGAAGAGCAATGAACGTGCCCAAGTCCATGCTGGCAACAAGGAATGCCAGGCTCAGTTCCAGGCACGAGCGGATGCTTGGCCAACCTGACTGGATGGGTGGGTGTGCAAGTGAATGGAGGGACGGACGGGTGGATGGGTGGATGGAAGAATGGGGGTGGGCGGATGGGTAGATACACAGGTGGGTAGAAAGGCTTGTGGACAGGTTGCTGTTTGGGTGGGTGGGCGACGACATATCTGAAATTCACACTCAGTGCCTCTGATGTCAAGTATTCTCTTTATTACAACACAATGTAAATGGCTGGATATCTCACACAAGCCCACCTAAGTAACTTCGTATTAAGAAAGTTCCCTGTGATAAGATAAAAAGTATTTACTTTTAATTGATACAAAATATATTTCCAAATTCCTAATCACCTCCACTCAAAGCTTTCTGCCTAATACCTCCTTGCGAAAACTGATAATTAACTATGCATGGCAGAAATGGTTCACGATTCTTTCAAAGAGAAAACTTCTCTTAGACATCATTTGCTAAGGCACTTTCCCCTTAAGTAATTCCATTTTCAGTACATCAAACAGTATTCAACAGAGATAAAGAAAAATAAATAATTATCTGTTCAGACACTTCAAATCTTCAAACACCAAGTTATCTTGAATAAGCTTTTAAAAATACCAACTTGAAAGATTTATTATCATTTAAACTCAAAATAGCACATGTAGGAATAAGACACTGAACAGCTCTATAGTAAGACTAGTTGATCTGTTTCCAGTAGCAAGCCTGTGGCAGACACACAACAAAGACCATGATTAAGCACTGAAGTCCATCCGTGCACTTCCAAGGAAAACATGGGTGCCAAACAGGCCCCTGTGGGAGCGCCAAGTGCAAGCAACTGAGACCTGCTGGGTGTCTCAGACGCAGCTCCAGCTGAACAGGTACCCAGTGGACCGGAGGCGACTTCACTGTTGACACCCTAGATCAATCAGGCCGCCCCAGCCGCGGACAACAAGAGGGAAACACACAGCTCCCAATCTGTTCCAGCATCAGGGCAAACGCGGCAGTGAGAGCACCATGGGACTGTGGTCTGGCAGGAGGAGGCACTGTGGAGCCGAGCCTGGCCTGTGCCTGCTGGAGGAGGGGCCTACAGACTCCAGATCGGTGGGCCATGAGGCTGAAACTCTGAGCAGAGCGCTCGACATACTCACAGGGCTGGGTGTGACCACAAGTGGCCTTCATGGATGGCAAATCTGAAAGCTCCAGTGAGGGCCCCAAAGGGTGATTTGGTGCATGAAGAGTAGACCGGAAACCAGCAGCTGTCACAGGAATGGGCTGGCCTTGGAACCACATCTCCCTGCCCCTGTCACAGGAACGGGCCAGCCTTGGAACCACATCTCCCTGCCCCTGTCACAGGAACGGGCCAGCCTTGGAACCACATCTCCCTGCTCCTGTCACAGGAATGGTCCAGCCTTGGAACCACATCTCCCTGCCCCTGTCACAGGAATGGGCCGGCCTCAGAACCGCATTGCTCCCTGCCCCATCACAGGGATGGGCCAGCCTCGGAACCACATCTCCCTGCCCCATCACAGGGACGAGCCAGCCTCGGAACCACGACATTCCCTGCCCCATCACAGGGATGGTCCAGCCTTAGAGCCACATCTCCCTGCCCCTGTCACAGGAACGGGATGGCCTCGGAACCACATCTCCCTGCCCCTGTCACGGGAATGGGCCGGCCTCGGAACCACATCTCCCTGCCCCATCACAGGGACGGGCCAGCCTCAGAACTGCGTCGCTCCCTGCAGCTGGACTTAGGCACCGCTGCTGCCGCGGTGCAGCCTCATCACTGGCCATTCTCTTCCCTTCGACAGCCACCTTCTCATATCCCCGATCTTCCCAATTTCCTGGTCTCATCCGAATGCTACCTTGCCCTAAGGCCCCCCGCGCCTGCCCTAACGGGAGCACACACTCCTTCCTCCGAGCACCAGCGTCCCCTGCACCCTGCGCTTATGGCTGCCCTCACAGGCAGAAAGGCTGTGTAGAGGGGGTCAGAGGGCTTGGGACCTGCATCTCAGCTCCTGCGCTATTTCTCTGAGTGACCTTTACCAAGTTATATAAGCTGCGAGGGCTCATTCCTAGGACGGGAACAGGTGCACCATTCTCCAGAAGAAAAGAAACTTCGACTAAAGCAGTTATCACAAGGCCTGGTGTGTGGCACTCACTCGCCCAGAAGGGCTGGGAATATTACTACAGCAGCTTACATACCGTCTTGGGTTCCTCGCTTAATTACAGCCTTGAGGCCCAGATTCTTGTCAAACTCATCCCTGTGTCCCTCATGGCCCACGACGCAGGATCTAGCAAGCTGTAAAGCCCTCAGTCAGTATAAGCTAACCGAACTGGTAAGCTACAAGGTCAAACTTGATATGTAATTGATACACACAGGCTCAGTAAAAATTCTGTCAACCCAAGTCGCACTCAGCAGCAACTCCTGGCTCACTGAAGGTCAGCATCGTGAGTCAGGCAGACCGTCACAGGCTGCTGTGTCCAGGTGAGCTGGTGTTCTCTCTCCTGTCTCCACGGGCAGGATTTATGACACTCCCCCTTTACTGCAGTGTCTCCAGGACGGGGACTGTGTGAGCACAGCCACTCGCAAACCACAAATCCCACAGTTAGCACCCTACCCTAGAACCTAGGTCAGGTGGAGTCTGCACACAAACCTGGTCCTGAGACCCACGCAGTGACCCGGCCCCAGGCGGCATCCTCTGCCGGGTTAAGACAGGTGCCCAGGAGGTTGTGTTGTGTTACATGCCTTCTCTCACACACATGCACACGCAGGGCCTGGGGCACGGCTTGGTGCTCCCAGGCTATGAGCTCCTAAAGGGCTCGGATCCCATTTTGCCTTGGAAATACCAACCCTGTTCTATACACAGAACGGTGCTAAGTGGTTCACTTCTGGAGGCGGCGTGCGGTAGAAACGCACAGTGGCGCCAGGTTCTGTCTCCCAGTCTCCTCTTTGGGAGCAGCACCTTCTCCCTCCCCGGTGACTCATGTACAGCCGGAAGAGGCCCTGAGCCCGCGTGGCCACCCATGCAGATGTCTGTCCACTGGGTGATCCAGAGGGTGGACAGAGGACACGAGAAGGGTCACACAGAGCCGTTCCGTGAGCTTCCATCTACGAAGTCCAGGAGGAAGAACGGGTGAGGCTTGTCCCTCTCTACACCGCCTGCAGCCATCCTGCCCCACCACCCACACTGAGGGAGTCTGGGAAACCCACACAACTCCAGAAACCTCGGCTGTGGGGGCTCTAAAACAGGAACCGACTAAGGGGATCTGACGGGGAAAGCTAGTGCAAAATGTCTGAAAAACACAAATCTGCATCTGAGATGATGGAAGCATCTGAGATACAGGTACTTTGTGGAAAGTTTTAGAAAAAGGATAAAAAGCACCTCTGAAATGTGCCTCTTTTGGGAGGCACAGACCTCAAAATCTCAAAGTAACCTCAAAAACCTTGAACGCTCCCACTCAGAACGCTAATCACCGCGTGGCTCCTTTACAGACCACACGGGTGTGCTGTCCCACCCCACGGAAGATCGCAGGGACGACGGACGAGCACATCAAACACAAGGGGCAGACATGAC